TTTGTTTGCAATTTACCCATAATTTTTTGGAGTTTTTAATTTTTTGTATTTTTTTGTCATTTTCTGAAATTTTTTTTTGTTTTTAGAAATAATTTTAAATTCATTGGTCGACAATTTTTAGTCCAGTCTCTTGGATTTACCAATAGGTAACTTAAATAATCTTCACTTTAGTCTCGATCAAACTCTGTAGCTTCATTATCTCCTCCTTCAACGTTTGACGCTCCACCTGCTAAAAATTAACCAATAAATTTTTATTTTATTTCAGTAGAATTATTTTGGAAAATTTTCTGTTATTTAAAATATAATTTGAAGATGAAAAGTGTTGAGTCAAAACATAAGACCAAGAGTCTGGAAGGCTCTATTAGTTAAGTTACTAGTTATTACGGTAATATTCAATTTCGCCCCCCCCCTCTTTTTCATTCCTCAAAGTATTAAAAAATGGTCAGCCAATCTTAAGTTATAGAACTCGTCGAGCTGTGTCGAATGACACTAAAATCAAAAAAATCGGACCCCTGAAAAATACAGACCCCTGAAAATTGAACGACCATAAGGGCGAAAAACCATAGAGACTAACATTTATACAAAAGATAGCTCATTCGAAAGAGCTCTTCAAGCTGAGCCGAATGAAACTCAAATCTTGGATAAGATTTGACAAAGTTATGTCATAAGTCTCACACAGCTCGACGAGTTTTATAACTTAAGATTGACTGACCATTTTTTAATACTTTGAGGAAAGAAAAAGAGGGGGGAACGAAATTGAATATTACCGTTATTACTAGGGATCAGGTTTTTAGTTTATAACCTATTTAGTTCTGAAATCTTTAAAGTGTGTCAAGCTCAGATCTGTTGATATTTTTTAAATATTTTATGTTTACGCGAGGTAATTATCACATATGATAATCTTTTATGGAATTTTGCAACCTAAAATATGTTGTAATTAGGGTTAAACGCTGGAATTTTTGAGATATTTTTGCAAAATTAACTGCTTTTATGTAATTTTAAAAATCGAAACAGTTGTCCATATTCATGCCCCTTTTTAAACATTTTTAAAGTGCGGTCACAGAACCGATAAGTACCCTTTTTTGAAAATATTTCTTTATTTTAGCCCTATTTTTGAACCCAATTTGGTCTATTTACGGTCCTAGTTTGAGGCTTTAACTAAAAATCCTTACTTAGTACTTCTATATTAGAAGCTTACCTTTTAAACACTTTGTAATATGTTTTACTAATTTCTTCGAACTTAAGCTTGAGAATTCACGATTGCATGAGTTACATTTAACTTTATCATTATCATTACCAACTGATGCAAAATTATCCGTTGCTGTTTTGTTAACTATAATATTAAATATTCTTTAACTTTAAAATATTAAGTAATTTTATTGAATAAATTCGAAAAATATTAATCTAATTTATCCATAAATTAGAGGTGAGATATTTGGAGTTTCATCTGAGTTTATGTTATGACCCCTCTTACAAAGAAACAGATAATTTATCACACGTAGAAAATACAATGAATGTTGATGTATGTAAAAGATAAGAGAAGAAGATGGAGCTGGCTTTTATACTAAACTGTTTAAGACCCATACACAACATTTTAGTAATTTTTTGGTTACGGTTCCGGAGTTCTTATAAGAATCCGATCCAGATTAGACACATTTCGAGTATGCTATACTTTTATTAGCCAGTGTACATAAGAAAAAAATTTTTAACTATTTAGTTTTACTTACGTTTCCAACAACTTTTATGATGAATTTTTAAATTCGATAAATGTGCAGCCATTTCACGACCACAATACTTACAAGCAACTTTATCATCTCCAATTCTAGTAAAATGTTTCCATGTTGAAGAAGTTCTTCCTATAATATTTTATATTTTTTAATTATACATATTTCATATTAGAATATTTGAAACTAGATTATCTAATATTAAACAAATTTAACTTTTGGGAAATTTAAACAAATGCAACCCGGGGGATTTGTGCAATGTTTGCAATAATATTCACCATCGCGAATTCAAACTGACACTTGTCTTTGGATGATTCTTTTATATGGATAAGATCAATCGGCTAATGGATCTTATCGGTATCAATAGCAGTAGTACTTACTCATATAATGAGAATACATCCTATCGAAGCTGGTAATCAGTGGAACTGTCTGAGTAATTAGTCAGTGACAAATTTAATGGGAAATAATTTTGTTAAATTAATATTTTCCGCCATTTTCTAGCCAAAAAATTAAAGAAGTTCTTCATTTAATATTTTTTATTCTTCAATTTTCAAATTAAAGAAAATTGATACTAATTTTTTTAATTATAAGAAATTTAAGACTAAGATGACAGAAATGTGGAAAAAACTTTGAAAGATTTTCATTATACAGAGTGGGGCAAAAGTTCGGCGATAAATGTTATTAATTGAATCTATTGTAATAAAAAAAGCATTTAGCAAACAAATGATAAAATATAATAAATATAATTAACCTCCTTTACCAGTTTTTCCAGCATTAAATGAGTTTTCAAGTTCCTCAGTTCCCATGATATGGAAATCTTGAATTGGATGATATTCCGGATGTTCATTTACTTTTACAGTAAATTCAGCTAAAAAATTCTTTTGATTAATTGAAGAAAAAATTAGATACTGATAAACCGTATTGTTGCCCTTAAATAAAATATCTGGTCACGGCTATCAAAAAGATTAATTATGGACTTACGACTTGCCACCCTCTTTTAAGTATTCAACTTTTAAATATTCAGCTTATTTATTCACAGTACGGCCCCTTAAGTTAAGTTCAGTACCCCTTTAATTGGGGACCTTTGAGATTACCGTGTTCCTCATGTCCTTGTCCACTCCCGCTGGTCGATCCCAAGTTTTTCTTTCCTTTATCCCCATTACCACCGCCCTCCAACAAAACGGAGATATTTAGAATAATTAAGAAAAAAATAACAAGATTAGTTAACTTCATCTAAAAATAATGTATTTTACTATATTTGTTCTATACTATATTGTCGTTAATAAATAAACTTTAGAAATTTATTTAGAAGATATAATTTTGGGTGTATCCTCAATAGACTACCAAATAAAATACTATATATAAGGTTATATGACACTTGGGGACGGACTTTTGAGGACCGACATTTGAGGATTGCGGAATGACATTTAAGGACCGACAGTTGAGGATCGAATTTGAGGATTGAGGACCGACATTTGGCGGTTGGGGTCAGTTGAGCGTGGCCGGTTGAGCGTCAGCCGACATTTGAACGGCTATAACTTTTTTAGCCTTGATCCAATACGAATGAATCATATATCATTCGAAAGCCCTCGATGAGTCCAATCTTTATCCCAACTGGATGGATCAAGTCTGATCCCGGTTAAAAGGTTATAAGTCGATAAGTGCAGAAAATCGTTGTTTTTCACACTTATCAACTTGTAACTTTTTAAATAGCGATCAATCATGATCCATCCAATTGAAACAAATATAGCGCTTAACGAGGGCTTTCGAATGATATATGATTCATTAGTATTGAATCAAGCGGAAAAAAGTTATAGCCGATCAAAGTTGGCTGACGCTCAACCGGCCACGCTCAACTGGCCCGTTCCGGACATTTGGGGACCGACTTTTGAGGACCGACATTTGAGGATTGCCATTTGAGTAAAAGAATATTATTATCTAAAAACAGAAATCATCACAAATTTCGTACCACAGGGTAGGATCCTCAAATTCGATCCTTAAATGTCGGTCCTCAATCCTCAAATGTCGGTACGCAAAAGTTCGTCCCCAAGTGTCGCACCACTCTAAATAAAATTAAAGTGTCTATAAATTTGGTGGTGTATAAATTTCTGTTTTGTTTAAATAAATCACTAATACCGTATTAATTCTAATTGACTGCCCGGACATTCTACCTTCCAAAAATTCATTCTGTTAGAGAGAGGCATTCAAATGGAGCGGGGCATTCATTAGAGGTAATACGATAGTTAAAAAATTTTTTTCTAAATGTTTATTGCATAATGAGAGCGACTTTTATGGAGAGGATTTGGGCAGCGAAAAATTATTACACGTCGATCAGGCGACTGTCTACCGATTTGCTATCTACATACAAGTACATCATTTTAAAGCAACGCCGACTTTAAATAGACGTCGACTTAGAGGACAAGAAAAAATCACGAGAATGCCAACATCCATAAAGAAATCTATTATTCGATTTTTATATCTGATCAACTGTATGTTTGTCTACAACAACTTACACAAAAGTACAGCTTCAAAAATAATTTATAACTGTATTTTTGGAACAATGAAACTTCATTATTTTTGAAGTTGTACTTTTGGGTAAATTATTGTACAGTTCTTAATGAGTTCAAATCCGTCTGAACATGGAAAACTATATATAAAACTTCTGAAAAATTGTCTATGGTAACCGAACCTTTGGTTACAATCTTCTCTTGCAATAGGGTTGTCGGTTCTGGATAGGGTTGGATTCGGCCCGATCCGAAAGATCGAGTCAGGCATTGAAAGTTGGCCCGAAAAAGACTCAGTCGGGCCGGCCCGAAAAAATGACTCAAACGTCGGCCCGACTCGAAAACCCCTACCCTAGTTCTGGACCGAACCGAAGGACCAAAAATTTTTGGTTCGGATATCGGTAAGGTTCCGGATATTCGAAGATTTTCAAAGAACCGACAACCCTAACTGCGAACATGTTAGGTGTAAGTAAAAAAGTTTAATTAGAAAGTCATAGGGGGGAAAATTTTCAAAGGAGGTTTTTAGTGCCCCCTACCGAAAGCGCCCCCTACCTCCCTGGCTACGGGCCTGTTCCTCACTTCGAACTCTTTCAAAGGACATAAATTGCCCCTATTCAAAGTAGCCCGTATTTTTAAATTTTTCCAAATATTCATTCAGATACCTAGGAAGAATATAAAAAACTAGTTCATTAAATTTAATTCTGAGTAAGAAAAAAATACATAAATAGTATTTTAATAATAAAATACACACCAGTCTTTAATAAAAAAATTCTCATTTAAATAAATCAGTTGCTGCAATATTTTTACTAACACATTCTTCACACAAATCTATACGTAAGGTTACTCCAGCTCCATCCCGTTGAATTTTTTCATCCGATTTGAATAACCTTTCACGACAATTTTTGCATAAATAAATTTGTAAAAAATCTTTGGGTTGAAGTGAAAAAGAACATTTTACTTGGGTAGATGCAGCTAAAGCTTCGGCAAGATGAGCTAATGATGTTGTAGAGTTTAATGAAGGTGTGGGGGCGGGAGGAGGGGGAACAGGAGCTGCAACAAGGGGAACATTGTTGTTGTTGTTGACAACCGAAGGGGGAGGAATACTTGGTGGGGGAACATTTGTTGTTGTTGATGAAGAAGCAACAGGAGGAGGAAGATTAGAATTAATAGGTGGAGTAACTATAACAACTGTTGGAGGATTTATAATTTCTGTTGAATGTTGTTGTTGTAATTGTTGGTGTTGTTGACGTAGTCTTAATTCGCGGTCATGTTTAAATGTGTCAACCTATGAAAGAAAAATTTTAATTTACAAGTAAATTTTTTTGATTTTTTAAATTTGCTACTGCAAGACTATTGACTATTAATATAGAGATACCATGCCTTTTCTTACTCCGTACCGCTGACCTTGTGCTCCTTCAGGACGAGGCTAGGAGCCCAGAGAACCATATACGTACAGTACTGACGGTATTTTTAGGTAATGTGTTCCTTATGGGTATCTAGCAGGGTTGGGTCGGGTTGAGAAAAAGTTGGGTTTCGATCGGGTTTTCAAAAATTCCTCGGGGTTTAGTGTCAAAAAAAGGCCAGATTCCGGGTAACCCGACCCATCCCTGGTATTACGTGCATTTAACTAGGTAATCTACGAATATTCCCAAAGTTTCATCAATTTTTGTCAACTACACAGTTATTCTATTAATGTCTCCAAAAAAATCGGCGCTCAGCCTTATGTAAGGATGCTTCACCTAGCAACTTTAAAACGCTTAGGTTGGGGGTGAAACGATCTAAAAGGATAAAAGAGAAAGTATTAGTCGTGGTAGAGCTCCTATGTACGGTGAGCAAAAGCGCCTAGAAATGACTACGAAAAGGTAAGGGTTCGAATCCTTCCCGCTGGCTGAACTTATGCTAAACTCTTTCTCTTAATGACAATTTGTAAATCGCTGTCCTATCTAGTTTTTGACCCAGTCTTTTGTTTCTACATGAAATCTTGTTTTGGATTTTTTTTCAATTTCAAGTAAAACTAAGCACCTTGTCCTTAATTAGTTTAGTGATATGTTTAATGTCGGAATCTGGGATTAATTGTTGTTCCACCATTTGTTGAACAATTTCTTCGGCCTTATCAACCTCTATATCAAAGGAGAACAACAACCCTTCATTTTCTTTAAATTTGTATTGAGCTCGTTTTCGCTCGTCAATTACGTATAATTGCATATGAATCTTTAAAAAAATAATTTTTCTTTAAAAATTTCCACTAAAAAACACCTCATTATTAGTTCCAGTCAAATCCTGCTCTCTATTTTGAATATCTATTCGAATACCACATTGCTCCTCTTCTTCCCCATTTAATAACTGTTGAGTAGATGATGCTTGGTCTAAATTATTTTTCTCATTTGTAACACGGTCAATTATTTCTTTTATTTCAGGGTTTTGAATACGTTCAAAACATGTTGATTTGACATTCTATAAATAACAAGAATTTAAAGGAGAAAGAAAATTCAACTAGTATTTAGTATTAATGTCAAGGGTTAGTCGAAAGGGTTAAGGGTTGTTTTTTTAAGGTTAAGTAACCCTTTACCCAAAGGTTACTCAGAACCAGTTAGCCTAAACCTAAATTCTTTCGACCCTATAGAGATCCACTTCCCTGTGTAATGCCTAATAATAAGTAGAATTGGCAGCTAGGACGAATCAACACTAGAAAGATCGAGCGAGCCGAGGCTATCTAGCCTGAAATAGACCCGTATGACTCGACTGAAATGAATGACTCAAAAAAAACGTAAACCAACCAAATTGAAAAAACCCATGCTCAAATAGCTTAAAAGACTCAACTCGAAGAACGTCGGCTCGAACCGAAAACGGAGAACCTAAAGCTTATGTATTGGATCCCGTATTTATTATCCTTGGTGAGTAGGACCCGTTTTTCCTTAGCTAATAATCATATTTTTAAAGTCACCCCGCTAGGTTGTGGCTGAATAACAACATTAGAAGTATTAGTAACTCCATTAGTAATAATATTTGTAGTCGTAGTTGCAGCTGTTGCCTGAGAAGATGCTGCTAAAGCTTCGGCAAGATGAGCAAGAGAAGTGGCTGTGTTAAGAATTGGGGCTGTACCAACAACGCATGCAGTAGTAGGAGCAACGATAACAACAGCAGCAGCAGTTGGGACAACAGCAGGAGTGAGAATTTCAGAAGCTTGTTGTTGTAATTGTAGTTGGCGGAGCCTGAATTCACGGTCACGTTTAAAGCAATCGACCTGTTTAAAAAATTTTTGTAATATGACACTAAAAAGGGAGGGGGCGGACATATTGGGACGGACATCTCGGGAATGCTATGACTCCGGCTCCGGAAGTGCCGGGTCCAGAGCCGAGCTCTGGAATTAGCTTTCGGAGACATACACAGCACTGGTGCTTATGTTGGGGTTCTAAAACATAAAAACTGAATTTGTCAATAGGAGAATGTACTCAGTGTGTGTAGGCCAAGATCCAAGATCCAGTGATTGTAGGCTGAGATACAGTGGTCCCTCCCCTCCCACTAAAAGTGGGGGAGGGGGGCCTCTCGGGACGAACATCTCTGGATTGGGAGTATCAAAAACAACTTCTTGTGTGTTTATGTTGGGGTTCTAGAACATAAATCAGGGTATTATCCGAGATCCATTGACCGCAAGTCCCAAAACCAGTAGGGTAACTGTCCGTAAATTGAAATATCCCAATATGTCCGCATGTAACCGAAAACTAAGCACCTTATCCTTAATTAGTTTAGTGATATGTTTAATGTCGGAATCTGGGATTAATTGTTGTTCAACCATTTGATGTACAATTTCTTCTGCTTTGTCAACCTCTATGTCAAAAGAAAATAACAAGCCTTCATTTTCTTTAAATTTGTATTGAGCTCGTTTACGTTCGTCAATTACATATAATTGCATATGAATCTAAGAAAAAAATTTTTTGAAAATTTTTTTGGTACAATTAAATCAACCCACAAGGCTTTTATGAACTCTCATGTGGAAGGGGGTATGTTAGGAACTTTATATAATTCTTGGAAGTAGGTAAGTCAATAACATTGTTGTCTCACATGAGGATTTTTACAAGCAAAGCGATACCCAATATCACCTCTCCACTCGAGGCCTCCCACCTGACTAATTGTAAAATCTACACGGGACTACACTAAAAAAACCACCAACCATATAGCGAAAACTGAGTAGTCTAAATCGAATGTGTTGAAGGGATAGGCCTGTATTGGGTCCAGAGCTTGATTTTTTACTGGACCCAGAGCCAAGATTAAGGCATTTACCTATGTCCCTTGATTTTTCCTTGACTTTGATCATCCTTACCCAAGGACTTGAAGCTAGACAGCTCGGTCTTTTTTAAAATTCCCTAACTCTACCATTAACTTCAATAAAAATTCTGAAGAAAACCACCTCATTATTAGTTCCAATCAAATCTTGTTCTCTATTTTGAATATCAATTCGAATCCCAAATTGTTCTTCCGGCATAAAAAATTCATCGTTTAATAATTGTCGAACAGTGGAACGTTCATCCTTGTTCGTTCTTATGCATCTATCGATAATTTCTTTAATTTCGGGATTTTGAATTCGGTCAAAACAGGCTGGTTTGACACCCTTAAATTTAACAAAACTTTCAAAAAAATTTATGGGAAAAATTCGAACCGAAACAACTTTTCGATAAACTTGAGCAGCATATTGACATTCACTGTAAGGATATTCACCAGTAACCATTTCTAATAGACACATTCCGAAAGCATAAACTTTGAAAAAAAATTTTTTTATAAATATTATCAGGACAGGAGAACAACTAGGGGGGGGGGGGGCTGAGGAACTCCTTTGGATGTTCTATCCACTGACCTAGAGTTGGTGGGTTCAGGAATCCTTACAAAAAAAGTAAATAAAAATTATCGGTGAGGAGAACAACCAGGGCCAGGGGAGCCTGAGCAACCCGTTTGTATTTTTCCTCCCTTATTAAACTGTCCTAGAGTTGGGGGTTTAGGAATACTTCATTTCTCGATTCCCAAAATTTTTTTGGGAATTTTTTTAATTGAAAAATTCAAATTCCAAAAATTCCCAAAATTCCATTCGGGATTTCCTAACGTTTTTACTAAATTCTTCCCGGTTTTCTGAACACGGGAATTAAAATTTTATCGGGAAGCCAAACCGACCCCTTATCCCAAAATCTAAATTTGTTTTTTTTTTCCTCGAGAATTTTCCCTCCTCTATTAAACTGCCCTTGGGTTAAGTTTAGGTTCCCTAAGTCACGATTTCCAAAAAAAATTCCCTTTCCCGCCGGTTTCCCCGAATTCCCCCCGATTTTACAAACCTTTTTCACGACAATTCCCGTTTAATATTCCCGAAAAATTTTTTTTGAAAAATCCTATCCCCTTTAAATAAATCTAAAATTAAAAAAAAATACCATCAACTTCTTCATCATATAGTTCTTCATACATTTCAGGTGCCATAAATTCTGGCGTTCCAATAACACTTTTTGCATGAGATTTATTTTTGAGAGTGGCAAGACCTGAAATAGTAAAGTTTAATAAATTTTTAATTTTAAAACAAGTTTAAAATTGTAAGGACGGAGTAAAAGCCTAGCCTCTAGCAGGCATTGATACTGCGACACTCCTGGCAATTAGAGTTATGCGCTTTCGCTTCCATACCAAATCAAGGGATGTCATGAGAGTTTAGAAAAAAGTCGTCGGGCTTTCAAAAAAAATTTTTTAGGACCAGGTTTTGTGAACAAAAAAAAGTGTCGGGTAAATCTTTACATTTGCCGTACGGACCGGACTTGTCTATGTGGGCACTGCTTTCACTATCCCCCTATCTAACTAGAATTTATTAATACCAAATAGGGTTGTTCCCCGGCGAGGGGGCCCGGTGATAAATTTTCGGGGAAGCAATGCCACGGGGCGGAAAGACGGGGAGGGGTAAAATTTTTTAGTTTTTCACTGGGTGGGGGAAGGGTGGGAATTTTCAAAAATCTCTCAAATTCCCCCGACTTTCGGGGACGCGGAATAACCCTAATACAAAGAATTTTAAATGCTACACAGATGCCCTCTACCCCCTCCCTCCCTCTAAAGCCCTCTATGCCCCCCTCTCCCTCATGGCCCTCTACACCCCCCCCCTCCCCCCTTCAGAACTTTTCCCACAAATTTTTAATTTCAAAAAAAATTTTTATTTGCAAACCTAAATCCCCAATTTTTACACTTCCAGTAGTTCCAGTAATAAAAATATTATCACATTTCAAGTCTCTATGAATAACAGGAGGTTGACGAGTATGCAAAAAATATAAGCCTTTGAGTATTTGACGACACCAAGATTTGAGAACTTTGACATTAATTCGTTTAAAACGTTTCAAATAAAGTTTAAGAGTCCCAGAAGTCATCAATTCAGTGATGAGGACTATATATCTTTAATAAAAAAAATTTTTTAGGAAGAATTTTTAAAATCCCGTGGTGGAAATCTAAGAAAAAAATTTTTTTCTTAATCGAAAATTTAAAAATGGATACCCATTAAAATTCTCCTTGCCACCAAAAAAACTTTTTTTTCGAATAATTTTTTAATCTGAAAACTCTTTTCCCTTAACCATAAAAATAAAAAAAAATTTTTTTCGAAATTACAAACAGCCTAGTCAAAAATTCCTGAAAAAAATAATTAAAAAAATTCCAATGTAAGGACCTAAAGTTGAAAATAAAATTCAAAATTTTTCTAGAATTTTTTTACCCTCAAAAACTTAAAAAAATTCTCGTACCCCACAAATTAAAAAAGAAATTTTTTCAAATTAAAATTCTTATTGTCACCAAAAATAATCCGTTTGATCCTAAAGTCAAAAAAACCCAAAAAAATTTTTTATTTTCTTAACCCAAAAAAAAATTTTTTCAACTCCCAAGATTGTCATTGTCAAAAAATCTTCTAAAAAAATTTCTAAACCCCCAAAGAATTTTCAAAAAAATCCCCCCCCCCCCCTCAAAAATAAAAATTCAAACAAACTTTCGTTTTCCATCTGTCCTTTCCCAATAATCATAAAATTTGACAATATTTGGGTGTTGAAGTCCTTTAAGCATTTCAGCCTCATCTCTAAAACGTTGTCTTTCAGGCTTGCTTAATTTTTGTTCTTGTAATTCACACCAAGCGACTGCTACGCCTAAAAAAAATTAAATTTCTCGAAAATTTTCAGAAAATTCATAAAAAACCTGTTTCTGTGTCTAAACCACGATAAACAGTTTTAAAAGAACCACGACCCAATTCTTCATCAAATTTGAGGAAACGACCATCTTAAAAAATAAAAAAAGTTTAGGAGAGTTTAGAATGTAATGCTCGATAAAACGGAGGGGTTGGAGATTAAGATAACGGATATAGATTAGAAAAACGTAAGGATATCGGAAAATTTCGGTTCGGATCTTGGAAAGGCATTATATGGAAGTCCGAAAATCGGATGGACCTATAGCTTATGTTAGAAGCTAGAAAAATAGTGAAAGGAGCTAGAAATGGGAGGGAACTGGACATTAAAATGGAACCCAGAGGCATAAAAAGTCAGGGGGAAGATCTTCATCAAATTTGAGACCCCCCCCCCCCTCACCTCCGAAATGAGGAAAAGGAAAAAATTTTTTGGTGCACACCTCATTTTAGCCCCCCCCCCTGAAAACGACCCCCTTAGAATACAGACTAGAAGGTTTTGAAAAAAGATGAGCCTACACCCAGAGAGTTCGAAAATAAATTAATAAAGACCCAGGGCACGAAAAAATTTTTTTTATATTAAAAAAAAATAAAACCCGGAGATTTGTCAATCGGTTTTTCCTCGTCATAGTCCTCATCATAATCCTCAGACAATTTTCTCCGTTCCTCCTCTTCCTGTTGTTTAATTTCAGCTACAGCAGCTGCCGGAATTAGAGTTATGGGGGTTATTGCATCTACCGAGTCTATCGCATTTTGTTTTAAGGCTTCGGAAACAACGGGCAATTTTGCGAGATTTAACTGAAAAATTTGGATGAAAAATTGAAAGGTAATAGTTAAGTTTGTGTCACCCCTTCTTAACTTTAGCCGTAGTGTAGTGCACCGAAGGTAAAAGTTCGAGACGTGACATATGTCATTCGATTCGTCTCGACGAGCTGAGTCGACGGTACCACTCGCTACTTTATGAAATAATTTTGGACCGAGTTATAGGTCTCGAAATATTGAAAAACCATAGAGGGAGTAAGCTCGATTTTAAGGTGAAAAATTCAAAAATCCAATAGCTCGGTCCAGAATCATTTCCTGAAATTGGGAGTGGTACCGTCGACTCAGCTCCTCGAGACAAATCGAATGACATATGTCACGTCCCAAACTTTTACCTTCGGTACACTACACTACGGCTGAAAGTTAACAAGGGGTAACACAAACTTAAATATTACCAAAGAAAATTTAAAAAAATTCGAAAAAAACCTGTTGAAATATTGGAGAAGGTATTGCAGTTGGGGGAGTACCAACAAGTGTATCTGCTGGTGCTGGAGCGCCGCTGCCAGTGGAAAACTAGAAAAGGTGAGAAAATTAAAGGGGGAGATAAATAAAATTTTTGAAAAGGTTTTGGAGGTTTGAGGCATGAAAGGGCCCAGAAAACTGAAAAATGAAGGCAAAAATTTTTGAAAAAAGGACCTAAAAGATATAGTATTCCTTAAAGCTTAAAAATATTTTCTTGGGTAAAGGAAAAAATTTTAACAGATAAAACCCCCTGAGATTTGCGATTAGAAACCTGTATAGAGATATGTCAAGGATTATCTGAACCCCAGCCTTCTTTCGACCCAAAACCCAATCCAAACAAGAATTTTTAAGACCCGAATTTCTTCTTAACCACGTGACTGGATGGACCATACCATATGGACCATATGTATCCCATGGGCAAATTATAACACGAAAAAATAACAAAAAATAGGATTCTTTTACCCAACAAAGAGCCCATACCTCAAATATTCTTGATTAGCAACGTAACCAAAAAATTATTTTAAAAATCAAAAATTGACCTCAAACAGAGTTAAAAAATCTTAAAAAACCTGTTTGGACCACAATTGCTGTTTAGCTTTTGGACGACTCAAACGCCACTCCCTTTGGACAGCTTCAAGCCTAGACTTTTCTTCTGCAGAAAGACAAGTGTGGGAGTCCCAAGCATTTGAAGAACTGAAAAGAAAAATTTATTTGGATTTTTGAATGAAAATTAGGGAAAACGCTTAGGATTTAAATAAAAAAGCGGTTCGAACGTTGAGGGTTTCAAAAAATTTTTCTGATCAAGTTTGAGATTTCTGTCTGGAATCCCGTCTTATAAAAGACAAACACAAAAGGGTTTAATTTAATTATAGTTAAGGTAACAGCTGGCGTTTGATTTAACGACCTGAACCAGGTCCTGGGTCTGCAGTCAAGGAAACCTCCAGGAAATCAAAAAACGCTTAAGACTAGATTCTGGGTACAAAATACAGAAAATTTCTCAGAAACCGCAATCCCTAGTTAACAGACAAGTTTGCCCAGAATTTCTAGAAAAATTTCAAAAAAAACCGCGACAAAGTCAAAAAAAGTCGGAAAAGCTCGAAAACCTCAGAGGATTGTTAAGAAAAAAAATTTCAAGGGCCCTCGAAAAATAGGAATATTTTGGGGAGAAGGATACCCCCACAAAATCCACCCCAACCCTAATCATAAAAAAATTAAAAAAAACCTCGTAGCAGCTGGAGGCTCATTTCCCCGTTTAATCACAGTTCGTCTTCTCCTCGCTACCCCCAAATTGCTGTTTAACGGATTTCTGGCCGGAGAGGAATGATTTGAAGCTGGAATGTGTGTTTGCCCGTTGGTCTGTGCAGAATTTGTTGTTTTCCTTCCAGAAATGTTTTTGACGTCGCCGTTGATTGAATTTTCCATTTTTGAAAGAAAATTGAATTTTTGATAGGAAATTTTCTAAAAAATTTTTAAAAAATTTTTTAAAAACTAAAAAACATAAAAAAATGACTTTTAGCCCATCAACAGACTTTTCTTTTAATTTTTCTCTTTCTCTAAAAATTTCACTCGGCGACGGTTTGAGGTCAGTTGAGTATCAGAACGATTGAGTCCCATTAGGGGCTATTGGAAGGGTCATAGGGTCTTAAAAATGCAAGACGAGGGTTGTCGGTTCCTGGAAACTCTTCTGATGTCCGAAACCGAACCGAAGAACCGAAAAATCCTCGGTCCGGTTCGGTCTAGAAACGACAACCGTACGCAAGACGCTTTTTTCTCATCCTTGTTACGCCCAATTAGGCGCGAGGCCGTAACGGCGCGAAGCCATAACTTGTTGGAAAATTTCTGGCTCTTATCAATTTTGGTACCAATCTTTTTATCTCGATGAGAGGAATCGTTTAATACCAAATTTGGTAAGATTCGGAAATTTTGAAGCAAGTTATGGCTTTGCGCCGTTATGGCCTCGCGCCTAATTGGGCGTGTCTCAGAAAATCCTCCAAAAAATTTTGTAAATTAATGGGGAAGTATTAAAATTTTTTGGATGTTTGAGTCTCGGCTATAACGAGAAAAATAAAATTCTCAATAAATTTAGGGGGATAACTTATTTAAAGAGAAAATTCCCCTTTAAAAATGATTAAATAATTAATTTTATTGAGTAAATAATTTTGAAAGAAATTCTAAATTAAGTAACGAAAGATGAATAAACAAGAAAGAATTTCATGTGGACCAAAGGGAATATTATTTTATGTCTCGTCGATTGCCCCCATATATTCGCAGGCTTTTAGGCAAACCATTAGGAGAGAGAGGATGAGGTCGTTTTGGGCGCAGACACATTTTTGGCGCGGCGAGCGAGGGGCGAAGGGGTCATTTAGGCGCCGGGACCTTTTTGGCGCGAGACATAAATTTGACACTTAGGCCGAAACCTAAATTTATGAAAATTTTACCAAATTTTTTTAACATCCTTAACTAACTTCTCCAGAAATTTCAGTATTTTTTATCAAATATTTTTAAAGTTATAATCGAAAAACCTTGAAAATTAGGCGTTTTTTGAAGAATTCACATTTTTGGCCATAATTTCCGAAATTCTAGCCCAAAAATTCTGAAATTTTTGAAGAACCTAGTTAAACATAAGAGGGATATTATTGCCTATAATTGCCATAAGAAGGCTATTATTGCAAAAATTTCAGCCTTGAAGATAGTCAATCTACTGATTATATATGCTCGCGCCAAAATGGCCCCACGCCGAAATCGACCTAGTCTTCCTCAATTTAATGCCTGCGAATAAAGGGGGAGTTGTTCGATTAAACTCCCCGTTCATTTACTCTCTCATCAAATGATGGGAAATTCCACTGACGCCTATAAAAATTACAACAGTTTACAAAAAATGCATGAGTTTAGTCTTTCCTTTTAGGGAATGATAATATTTTTTGTGTTACACAAAAAAATATTTAATAATATTTTTGGGAAACCCACACATTTTTTGGTTGTAAATCATTTTAAATGAGAGAATTTCTTAAAGAAATGGCGAAAAAATTAAAAATGGAACACCCCAATTAGGCGCGCGGCCATAACGGCGCGAAGCCATAACTTGCTGGAAAATTTCAGGCCCTTATCAATTTTAGTACCAATCTCTTTAGCTCGATGAGAGGAATCGTTTGATACCAAATTTGATAAGATTTGGAAATTTTGAAGCAGGTTATGGCTTTGCGCCGTTATGGGCGCGCGCCTAATTGGGCTGTACCCATTAAAATAAAAAGGCATGTCAGGACGGTTCAGCGCTAATTATTTTAATAAATACAGTAAGAAATGACCCAAAAATTTATTCAACTTTTTCACCTTGAATATTAAAGATCTAGTTTAGGGGTTAACTGGGTACTAGAGACAGGACTTGGCGGGTTGAGAGAGCTATTGATGATGAAAAAACTCAAAAATAAGCAAAATTTACGTTCAAATGGTGTTCTATTAATAGAAAGGTTTTAAATTTAGAATGAAAAAAGAAAGAAAGTAAATAGGGGAGCAACTATTTTTGTAAACCTTTAAGTAATCTACAGCTAATTTTAAAAATTTTTGCAGCGAGCGAATTTTGGTGAATTATTTAGCTATTTAAGAGGCAAGTCTGAGGTAAGAGAAGTGAGGAAGCAAGTCTGAAATAAATTTTTAGAGAAGGATATATACTTCACAACGCCACTAGATACTCGATTGGATAAGGTCTAGTAATGAGTCTTAAGCTAGCGCAGCAGCCCTGAGACTTTCGAGCCAGTTTAAGCGAAAAAAAGGCATAATTTTAGAGTAGGATATATCCTACAACTATTTTGTCTTTGGATAGAGGAGGATATATCCCCTCAAACACTAATATTGAGATTAATATGATATAAGGAGAGAAATTACTCGAGCAACTCAGAGACATTCAAGAGCGATTAAATTCAGAGATGGGGGTCAAGTAGAGTGGTTGGAATTTTGAAATTTGCTCGTACATGTTCCTGCCAATTTTCTGCTCAATCTCGTGCTCATACTTTATGCACAGGTACAAGTACGAATTTTGGTACGAGCTTCCAAACACTAGTCAGGTGGAAATGATTTCCATTTTAAAATGCCCAGAAAATAATTTCAAAAAATTATTTCAACTTTAACAATACAAGGAATAAATTTAAAAAATTAAAAGAAATAAAAGACTGATTTATGTAAATATTCAAAAAAAATATTTTAAAAATATATTCATTTTATAAATTTAAAATATAAACACAATATTTATTTGTTTGTTAACTTTTGTGTACTTAAAATAAAAACTAGACTCATTATAAACGTAAACGCCAACGTGTTTTTTTATTTTTTCACTTCCTTTTTTTAATAAATTTTTCTTGTACTTGAAAAATTGAAAATTTAAAAGAACAAATAATTGGAAATTATTTAAAATTTTAAACGTTTTTGGGGCATTATTAACAAGGTTTGGAGGAAATGAGGGTCACTTAAGCGCAGGCAATTAGCGAATGAAGGATAGTAGTCCTGAGATAAAGTGAGCTAGCTAACTGCAAGAAGGGGTTACTCATAGAAAAAGGTAAGAAATTCAAAAGGTATAGCGGATTTCCTAAAAATAGAGCCCCAACGTGAATTAGTGACCCACTCTAAAAGCCTTATCTGACATGAGAGGATAATTAAGTAAGGATGATTCACCTAGCGGCATTTAAGACACTTAGGCGTGGGTTAAAGTTCTAAAAAGGAAAAAGAGAAAGCATTAGTCGATGCTCAGGTCGATGCCAGGTCCAAGTGGGTAGTTGAAAAATAGAGCCCAATCCTGAATTAGGGGACCAACGCTAATTAGAGGTCCATCCTGAGATGGAAGCAAATACAAGGATGAAGCAATATTTTAGAAAATACGGTAATTGAATTTGAATGCTAGGAATAGGCCAGACTTATTCTTAGAAAGAATTCTAACAAGAAAATTTTGGCAATTTCTATCGGAAAAATTTATAAAAAAAATTTTTTTGCATAACATAGGGACAATATAAAAAATTTTTAAAATTAAAAATATCCAGAAAATGTGGAATTAAAAAAATAAAGAGCCTGAAAATCCTTGAAAAATGTGTGTTTAAATAAATAAATAATCTTCTTTCCGACTCTTTATATTATTAGTCACGCTCTCGTGGTTGGAAGAACGCACGGCGCGGGATGTCAAGGCGCGCATAAGTGAAATAAAAAGGCAAGAGGGTAGATAAATTTCTGAAATTTTTGAAAAATATTTTGGACATGGTTGTCTGTCTTTTCGTCAAATTTCAGATTTTTAGGTTAGCTATTTCAAAAGTTATGGCCAAAAAATTCGAAAATTATAGGGTAATTTTGAATAAATGGACTATTTAGTTAAAAAAATTCTGAAATTTTTTTCTGAAAAATTCTGATTTTTTCTGAAAAAATTCTGAAATTTTCGAGGACCTAACGAACATATTGAACCATATATATACGAAATTCTCATATTCCTGGGCCCTAATCTGTAAAATTTAAAGTCCTCACCTTTAGGGTAATTTTAGAATAAATGGACTATTTAGTTAAAAAATTCTGAAATTTTTTTTTCAGAAATTCTGATTTTTTTGAAAAAATTTCTGAAATATTTTAGAGGACCTATCGAACATATTGAACCATATTTATACGAAATTTTCATATTCCTGGGCTCTTATCAGTCAAATTTTAAGCCCCCACCTAGAGGGTAATTTTGGAATAAATGGATTATTTAGGTAAAAAAATTCTGATTTTTTTTCCTAAAAATTCTGATTTTTTCTAAAAAAATTCTGAAATTTTTAGAGGACCTAACGAACATATCTAACCATATATATACAAAAATTTTCACATTCCTAGGCTTTTATCAGTCAACTTCAGTCCTCACCTTTAGGGTACCTGACTATTTAGTTAAAAAATTCTGATTTTTTTTTCTCAGAAATTCTGATTTTTTTCTGAAAAATTTCTGAAATTTTTAAGAACCTAACGAACATATCTAACCATATATATACAAAAATTTTCACATTCCTGGGCTCTTATCAGTCAAATTTAAGTCCCCCCGCCTTATCCTGCTTAGCGCCCAAACGCCCCTATCATCCACTCTCGACACTAAAAACACAGTCCTTTTGTGTTGTTTTTTATTGGAATAAATGAGGATGTTATTTATTTATTTAAAATATTTGTTCGATGTACTTCCGCTGTTATTTTTCGCTCAATAAAAAATAAAAATAAAAATTTTAACAATTTTTTGTTTACTTATTTTTTTATTAAAAATGACGAATTTTGGGTAAATAAATAATAAATTTAGAAAAATTTTTATCTTTGAGTTAAAAGTATAATTATTATAAAAATAAAAAAAATTCTAATTTTATAATCAGTGTCCTTATCATGGTGTGTGGAAATTAATAAGTAGAATGAAGCTGGACAGAGTATCCGGAGTGACATGAATCCCGGATTGACAAAAAGCATCCCGGAGTGACAAGAAGCAAAAATTTAGTTTAATAACGATATGAAGAGTTGGAGAGCAAGGTTGGCGGAT